TCACTCCCGACCCACAGCCCCTGCTAGCCCCGCCCTGCCCCCCTCCGCCCAGCCTGTGCCCCTCACTCCTGACCCGCAGCCCCCTGCTAGCCCAGCCCCAGGCTCCGCCCCTCACCGGTGTGTGTCTCTCCCCCAGGGGGCGGAGCCCAGCCCCGGGCTCCGCCCCTCACCGATGTGTGTCTCTCCCCCAGGGGGCGCTCTCTCGCCGGGGTTCGGGGAGTTCCCTCCCCTGGTGCCGGCCCCCAGCTCCCTGGAGCAGCTGCTGGGGTCCAACGAGCTGAGTGAGTGTCCTGGCGCCCTCCGCTGGCCACTGGTGGGGCTGCAGCCAGACTCGCTGGGGGTGGGGGATGGTCAGGACCCCTCCTCCGCCCTGCGTAGCACCCACATCTCTGGGGCAAGGGGGGGCGGCGAGTTTGTGTCAGGGGGCTATAAGGAGTTGGGGGGGGCTCTGTTACTGGGGGATCATGGGGCAGTGGGGGGCTGCTGGGGGGGCTCTGGCTCTTACTGGGGGATCAGGGGGGCATTGGGGGGCTCTGGCTGTTACTGGGGGATCAGGGGGCAGTGGGGGGCTCTGGCTCTTACTGGGGGGCCAGCGTCTCCCCCTTCACACTCTCTCTCCCCGCAGTGACGTTTTTTGAGGTGCGGGTCTATTACCGGGGGCACCTCGTGCTGCAGACGCTGGTCCCCAACTCGCAGGGCTTCCGGCTGGTGCCCCCCAGCCCTGCGCCCAGCCCCTGGCCCGAGCTGGCGGACGTGGTGCTGCCCCAGCCGGGGGTGCTGGTGGACCAGGTGCAGGCCTCGTACACGGCCCGGCTGCTGCAGGGGCTGGGGGCCGGGGTGCTGCTGCGGGTGCAGGGATCCTCCCTGTGCGCCACCCGCCTGGGGCGCCTCCACGCCTACTGGGGGCGCACGGAGACCCCCGAGCCAGGGGCCGAAGGCGGGGAGCTGTCCAAGGAGGGGTATACCCCCCTCTACGATCTGCCGCGCTTCGTCAGAGGTACGGGGGAGAGGGAGCCCCCAGGGGGTGTGGCGGGGGGCATGCTTGGGGGAGCCCTGGTGGGACCCCTGCCCCCCCCCCACCTGGCTGATGCTCCCCCTTTTGCCCCCAGAGCTCATCTGCTTCATGGAGGGGCAGGGCAGCTCCCCCACCTACGAACTGTGGCTCTGCCTGGGGGAGGCCTGGCCGGACACGGGGCGCCCCTGGAAAAAGAAACTCATCATGGTGCAGGTAGGAATCCGCCCCCCCCCCTTACACTCCCCTCCCTGGTCCGCCTC